GGTGGTTATAAAAGGCTCCCTACCCCCCAAGAACAAGGTATGTGAACTTTGCACCATCTGGTTCTATCTTGCCTTTGAGAGAATTCTAACTTGAGCTTCAGAGCATTCATACCGGATTCCCTCTGGAGCTTCTTCATTTTCCCTGTTTCAAACCCTCTGTAACTCCGTTCAGAGGCAAGGTCGTTGATAACTAGGACCAGCCGAATTGCGCACCATCAAGAGTCTTTCTCAACTTTGAGAGTTCATTGCCACAACAACGATTTATCATAAAAATATGGGGTTAAGTTTGATTGGGAATTTATATCAACAGGATTGGGATTTGGAGGAGCAGGAGTGATTGTTGGGCCCCTAGTGTTCTGGAAGAGGGGAAGGAAATGGTATGACAAACATGTTGATAGGCTTCTTTTCATGATTCTTATATCGTTGGGATTGGTCTTTGCCGATTGTAATGATGGGAGGATCCAAGTTGAGGAGATCATGGAAGAAGAGCTTAGAGAGATGATAGGTGACTATGATGATTGATGATAATGAAGAGGATGGGGGGATAGGTGGCGTTGCTGATTCTGGGTGTTCTGTTCTAATTTCAAAATTTCTCTTGCTATGCCTCATAATCCCAATTGCTTTTGCCTTTTGCTATACCTCATCTTCTCTTTAATTTCAAAATTTCAAATCCTGGAGTTTTGATCTTACTTCTTTATTTTTTTTATTTGTGTGTATACACCATATAATATGCATGTAAATACAAAATTCAACATTCCATGAAAGAGGGTAATGAAACAAATTCTATCTTCACATTACAAGTTTCAAGGAAAGCTTCTATCTATTATTAGCAAGCCATGGAATATCATCTCCAATGTTCATCAATCCATTATGCTTGCAACTCATATGTCGCACAGTCAGAGAGAGAGAGAGACTCGTATAACTTTCTTCGTCCATCTACAAAAAGAGGCCATGTATAGAAGATTCTTGCCTTTATAAATCATTTAATTTACAAGAAATTTTAGAAAGAAATAAAACACCTTTACAGTGCGGAATTTTCCAAACAAAAAGATAGAGGGGAAAGGAAGAAAAACTTAAGAAAAAAAAAATAGATGAAACGGCTTCAAGCCAAAATAAGCGCTGCTAAAATGAAAAGAAAAGGGAAAACTTGGTAGCCTCCTCTTCTCTGATCATCAGGTCCATCGTTGTTCTCTTCTATGATCATCAGGTTTCATCTGTACTCTGATAGAAACTGTCTTAGAAGGCAAAACAAAGAGTTGTAGTGGAAAGATTCTGGAAAGAATCACCGGTGGCTCTGAACGTCAGCGATGAGCGGTGAAAATATTCCGGAAGCTTGCAACGGAGGAATGAGCGGTGGTTGAGAAAGACTCCGGCTATTGCAGCGGACGAACAATGGTGGCTCGATTGCAATGGCGGTGCGAGATGATGTTAATGCGGGCGAACTTTCGTTATGAGGGGAGGGAAAAGAACGTTGAACAAATATGGAGAAGAGAAACTTTGGAAAGTGGGATTCTAAAAGGCGCTTAAACCAAAATTGATAAGTTTTGTAGTTCATACTGCCGTTAATGTCTAGACTCCGTTAATTTTAAAATTTTCTAAGAAGAACGACGTATTTGATTGCCGGAGGGGACAGAAATTTTCTGTCCCAAACGATCCGCCCTCGGTCGCATGGGGTGGGTCAGGATTCAGGAGGGTTTCCCTTGCCGACCCAGCATGGGACATGACTGGAATTGTGATTTTAATTAATACCTCTTCCTCCAGGGTCCAGTCCTATAGCTCCCTCCTCATTCCATCGTCAGTTCTTTCAGCTTTGTTTATAGTTGTCTACTTTGTTCCTCTTCTCTTCCCATTCATTCTCTTCTGGTTTACATCCAATGATCAATACTTATACATATAAACCAAAAAAAAAAAAAAGAAATTTAATCCAACAAATCATAAAAAGGAGAAGAAAATTTGCAACCAGCGTCGAAAATCAATAACATTCAATCTGATTCGGGAACAATTGAGAATGTGGCACTCGCACTAGAATGGCTATCATCACCGTAATGATCCATCAGACTTAATGCACTCTCCAAATTAGTCACAATGTCTGCCATCGTAGGCCGATCCCTTCCCTCTAAGCCCACGCACTTCACCGCCACTCGTGCAGTTAGCTCCACTGCCTCCGCCTCGTTCGCCTCCGGCACTCCCACCCTCCTATCTAACACCCTCTGCAACTCTCCCCCGTTAATCATGGGTACCGCAAAATCCACCATACTAATCGGTCCTCCCTCCTCGTCCTCCTTGAATAGAGCTGTCTTCCCCGTTAGCAGCTCCAGCAACACCACTCCCATCCCATACACATCGCTCTTCGGCGTCAGAACGTTCAGACCGTAATACTCGGGGTCAATGTACCCAACCGTTCCTGCTGCTTTCATGTGCATGTACTCCCCATTCGTCTCTGGCCCCATTAACGATAACCCAAAATCCGAAACCCTGGCCGTCCAATTTCCGTCCAGCAAAATGTTTGACGACTTTATGTCTCTGTGAATTATCGGCGGCACGGCGTAGTCATGAAGATACTCGATTCCCCTCGCGGCGTCTAGTGCGATTTTGATCCTCATCCTCCACGAGTTCAAAATACTGCTGCTCTTTTCTATATTGCTCTCGGAATGTAGATGATCGTAGAGTGCGCCATTCTTCATATACTCGTACACCAAAAGCCTCTCGTCTCTTTCTTCGCAGAAGCCCACCAGACCAACTAGATGCTTGTGGTGAAGACGGGACAAGAAGGCTAGTTCCGAATCGAATGCGGTTTCCTTCTCCTGCAATTTCTTCAACTTGCGGGACGTCTCTCCCCTTTTAACTGCCACCTCACGTCCATCCACCAGCTTCCCCCTGTACACAATCCCGAAGCTACCCTTTCCAATCTTATTCTCCGACGAGAAGCCGTCGGTGGCCGCTGCAAGCTCCGATAGGGTGAACTCCTCGGCCCTGTCCGCGTGCTTCGAAGAGGTCCCACTCCTCTGCCGCATAATCGCTCGGGAACTCTGCCGCATAATTGCTCGGGAGCCCTGCCGCCTGATGGTGGATGATCTCGACAGAGCGCTCAATGGACCACTGCTTGCTGGCGTGCCAGCATTAGCATTGCCTCCGGTTATGGTGGGTTGAACGGAATTATGGACTTTCTTCTGCTGGCAACAGCATATTCCAGCCCACAAGCTGTAGATAAGAGTACATGCTCCCAAAAAGATCCCAACTGATCCTATAACGGCAAAAGCCAATAAACCCTTGCTCGTCTTTTTCGACTGTGACTGCTGCGCTGGCGGCGGCGGTGGCAGCGGCAGCAGCAGAGCTGGTGGTGGTGGTAGGCCATCGCATGGCTTACAGATATTCCCGGAACCGGAGCAAAGACCCTGCGAATCACCATATATACCACAAGAGCAGTCCTGAACACACGGGCCCGGAAGAATATTTGACAATGGAAGATCCACGGCGGAAGTACTTCTGTTGCCAGGCAATCCAGGTCCCCAGCAAAAGAGAGAAAAATTCCTCGTCACCAAACCGCAAGTAAACTCTGTACCAGCGACAATCAACTCGAAAGAAACGCCATCTGTGACGTTGTTCGAAAATTCTCCCCCTCCTCCCCAACAAACCACCGATTTATTCGGTTGTCGAAGCGCACAGCTATGATTCAATCCTAGCGCCAGACTCGAAAACTCAAATGGTGAACTTGAGGGAACATCCAACTGCCGAGAATTGTTACTCCCTCTGCAAATCAAAACACCACTTGAGTTCGTAGTACCACAAACATGAGAATCACCAGCAATTAAGCTGGCCATAGAGACATTTCCAAACTGAGCCTGTATCTCCTGCCGAATTTGTCTGGTACCCCAACACTTAACTGTACGACTTGTGTTCAAAATACCACAAGAAAATCCTCGCCCTGACGTAATGGAGAGAAAACCTTCACCTGCCCCTGGTGTCGGAAAATTGTTTCTCTCCCCTCTCCAGCACTTGACAACTCCGGTTCCATCCACCAACGCGCAGACGTGGTCATCGCCCACCGAGACATCCTTCAACTTGAGCGCATCGTTGTAGTAGACCCTTTTGGGTACAAAATCCCTATTCCAACAGAGCAGACTGTTCCCTCCGGACCTCAGCCCGCAAAAGAAATTACGACCGCCAGAGATGGCTGTGAAAGATACGTTCGGCCCGATAGAGATATTTGCACCTCCATTAAAGCATTCAATTCTCTGCGTAGGTTCTCTGGCGACGATCCCGCAAACGGTGTCGGAGCCGTAGATGACGGCGACGGTGGAGGCTGAGCCGAGCCCATCAGCTACAGACGAAAGGAAGTAGAGAGCAACGAAAATGACGGGAAGGGCGACGGAGGGAAGAGGGATAATCGTCATAAGGGAGAGGGAGAGTGGAACTTAAAGACGACGCTGCGCTCCGATTTGTTCTTCATTGGCGGGGAATGAAGGAAACACGATAAGGCAAGCGGGCGCAGGCAAAAAAATCAAAACAAAATGTTGAAAACGAAAATCGGTAAAAAGATACGTTACGGGGAGGATTTTGATAGAATACGCGAAGTCGAATCATTTTTGTCTAATCCAAAAATCAGAATGACTAAAGATGTAGAAACCGTCGGATTAGAATCCCACTGCAAGACAAAGACGACGTCTGGCTCTGGTTTTATACTCTATAATTTGGTGGGCCCATACGTGGCCAGATCATCAGATTCTGATGTATAGAACTTGAAAAAACTTTTTCGGTCATAGTTGGTGCTGGGTGACTGGGTCAAGTCAAAACGCGCTTGAGAAATTCAGAATAGACTAGAGGGACTGAAGACAAAGAGGAGGAGGCCACCGTGAAATTCCAAATCCTTGTCCTGGTTTTGATATGATGATAATAGATAGAAAAAGATGTCGTTGTGACTTGTGCGTCGTTGGATAGTACGTGCCGACGTGGCATTGTGGGTGGGGGACCATAACATTAATTAACTATTGTTGTTATGTGAGTCTGACAGAAGCGTCCCACTTGAGTCTTGACTGGACTAACCCCATCCTACATCTGCACGTTACAAAATTACAATTACAATTTACAAATTCAGAGGTGGTCCTGTCAGGACTCAGGACTCAGGACTCAAGAAAAGGGTGGGACCGTGGGACTTGATGCAATTATGCAAGGGCAACGAACGAACATCGTTTATCTTCTATTCCTAACACTTGCAAAATGACAATTATACCCATCCTTGTTTGATCTTGATCGGTTGTTCATTTGTTGTTTGTCTCGGACTCGCAGACCAAGTCCACTGCTAATAAAGCCAAACCAAACGCAGCAGCCAGCAGGTCGTCGTCATCCTCACTTACAGCGACTATAATACACTTTCCCTCCCCCGGCATGGATCTTTGGAAACTGAAACAGAAACCACATTTTCATGGGGAGATTATTGAGATAGATGATCAACTGAGCATCTTGAATTCCCTTTTTGATATCCCGTCCGCCAATGTCAATCCGAGATAAAAAGTAAACGGAGAAGTACATTGTAGTCCAATTTTGAAATTACAGTCCCCAAACAAAGTCGGTCTCCTCCTTTTTTTTGCTAGAAAGTTGAAATTGACTCTTGGATCTGGGAAGTGGATCACGTTCAGACTGATGCATTGATTCCAAAGGGAAATACCCAGTTAGTTCGGTTGATTTTGCCCCTTGTGACTTATAAGGACTTGGGTCTGGAACAGTGATCTTAAGCTATGTATGTTTGGTTTGATAGAAAAGAAGAGACAAATAGAAAAGTAGAGGATAAGTTCTCGAGGAACTTTGTTTGTAAAATTCCTTAACAACCTTCTGTTTCACTTTTTTTCTTTTAACCAAATGGAAGATTTTAGAGACTTGTATATTATTAGATTAATGCCCTGTTCGCTTTTAGGGTAAATTTCTTAACATTCCGGGTAAATGCATTTACTTGTGTAAACCGATGCTCTTTAATTTCTCATGTAAATAAGGTAATGACCATTTTAGCCATAAAAATCCATTATTAAAAGAGACATTTTTGTCCCACTCAAGTATTGGCAACTTTTCCCTAGGTGGGAAATTTATTTGCCCGCTTAGAAGATGGGTATCACTTACCTACCCAGAAAAATAAACTTTTTCTAGTCCCCACATAAATCTGAAAAGAAATATATATAGGATTTTTTATCAATGGGAACCAAAATCCCATTGACCAATTTTCCCCCCTCTCAAAATCCAAAAAAAAAAAACACCCCATAAAGGGTAAATTAAAAATAGGTACCTTATAATTTGGGGTAGTGGCACTTTAGTTTAAACTTTTGAACAAGATATTTTAGTATTTAAACTTTTGGAAATATACACTTAAGTCCAAATTATGTTAGAACTGATTTTACAATGAGAGTAAAATTACAAAAAATTATCATGTTTAGATTATCTTTTGTTAATTGACCTTTTATTTTACTATTTTTTTTTTCATATGAAACCATTTCTATGCTTCTTTTCAACAAAGAATAAAAACATTTGAATGGAACAATGAAAAAGAAAGTGAAAATCTGAATATGGGCAATTTTATAATTGGAACTCTCACTGTAATATTTAGTTTTAGCAGAGTTGGATTCAAATGTATATTTCTAAACGTTTAGGATACTAAAATGTTGCAATTGAAAGTTGAGGCCGTTAAGTATCATTACCTCCAAAGTATATATGTAATTTACTCTATATTAAATGGGATGGTAAGGGTTGGAGGCATGGAGGCAACCTTAGATGGGCCAGAAGTACAAAAATGATGAAAAGCTTCTTCTGAGTTTCTGGATTTGCTATCCCCATTAATTGTGTTTTGTGGAATACGGAATACCATATTCCTCTTTTTCTTGTATTTTCCCACGATGTCAACTTGTGTAGCTTCGTTGGGCCAGTAAGCTATTATTGCATTTGTTGGTGAAATACAAATACGTGGGCATGGTTGTGGGAGCTTAGAATTAAGGTCAGGCAAGAAAAAGAGAGAAAGGGATGGGAGGGACACAGACACAGTGCCACTCATACTCATACAAGCTTTATGAATAATCTGCTCATACTCACTATTAGCTGGCCTAATAATTAATTATGTTTATTCCCTTAAAAGTTAAAAGTGATCTCCACTCACTCATGTTCTGTTATAAAAGATATGTGGTTAAATTGGCTAACTTTTGGTATCCAATGTTGTCCCATTTCTCTTTATCCTAATTTTAATTGACTCCAGTTTCCAGCCCTGAAGCTCTAAATTAATCAAGTCATAACCACATTCAAGCATTCAGTGGTATGCTTTGTTGTTTTCTTCTGATCTTCATCTATTAGGCTACTTGTGCTCTGTGAAACTAGAGGAACCAACCTCTCTTGGGTAACTACTGGGTTTATATCAAATAAAGACGGGGAAACTTGCAATTAGGTTCATATATAACATGTATTGTTATATATTCTGCTGTTCATCCGCAAACCTCCTCCATAGTCCATAGCCACCCACTAAAAGATGTTGATAAGGCAAATCAGATGCAGACCAGTTCTACTCTACCCTCCTGTTTGGATGTCCAAACTTGAATCTGCTCCACCACTGGAACATTTTTGGCATTATTGTTTGGATCATCTTCGAAATGTATCAGGTTAGCCAAAGCCAAGATTCTATCACTGCACTGGGGTTGTAATAATTTGACTTTACGTATCTTTTAAGATCTCTGTCCCAACTACCAGTTCACACCCATCAGGCACTCATGAGACCATTTCTAATTTTCCGTGACCGAGGCCCAACTGTAGCTTTTTTTCTCTCTCTTAAAGTACTGCTTTCACCATTGAAAAGACACCCCTCCCTGGCCCTAGTTGGTTTTGCCATGTCTCATTGTCTAAATTTCTTTCCAAACCACCGCTTCTAGTTTATTCACTAGGGTTGTGTCCCCTTCATTAAAAAAAAAAAAAGGGATGCATAATTCTTTGTTTTCCTCTTTCTTTCATTAATTTCTAAAAATCATCATTTCATTGTTCTGTACATTTTTCCTTTTAACTTATTAACTCTTCCTGCCTTTTGCCAATTGAGGGATGGCTCAGTCGATACATTAAATTTTGACAAAAGTCAAACCGGAGCCCGGCTATGTACAGGTCTCCCACCAAATTTAGGGAGGGCGAGTTATATATATATATATATATATATATATATATATATATATATATATAAACTGGTCCTGCCATGTCGGTACCTCTTTCCTTTCTCCCCCACTCCATTCCTAATTTCTCAAAATTTTGAATTTTTTATTTTTTTTAATCCATGTAATATCACTTAAGCCAATAAGGAAATCACATATATTTAACTATTTGTAACAACCATAAAGAAAGAGGGATTTGTTTTTCTAATGTTTAGCCAAGTGCCACTACTTCCTCTTAAATTGTCTCTAATTCCTATTTATCCCCTAAATTATCTCTAACTCCTATTTATCTCTTAAATTATCTCTAATTTAGTAGAGAGATTCTCTACTAAACTATCTCCAATTCCTATTTATCCTCTCCCCCACTTTTTATCTATATCTATCTAAAGAAAGTTTCAATTAAAAAAAAAATTAGAACTATTTAAATGTTATAAAAAAATTATATACTAAATTTAAAATATTTATTCAAAACACAAAAAATTAATAGATTTAATAATATTCACATTATTAATAATTCAATATTTTTACAAAATTCATCATGAAATTATGTAGTAACAATATAAATTATAATTTTACGAATTAATCAATTAAATTTTATTCAAATAATAAAAACTTAACATTAAAAAATAAACATTCTTTAAATATTTCAATAACTAGAAATATTAAATAAAAAACATTAAAAATAGCTAAATAATATAACAAACTATTTAATATTACGTAATAACACTAAATTAAATAATGAAAATTTTTTAAATATGCTACATATTTTTAAACATTTAAATATGTAAATAACAAAATATTTAACATGACAAAATTTTAAATAGTTAAAATAACAAAATTATGTAATAAATTTAAAAAAAAATCTTAAAAGTAGAAAAATAAATATAATAGAATTCATAATATTCATATTAATAATAGTTTAATATTTTACAAAATTAATAATAAATTATGTAATAATAGTACAATTATAATTTTATGGATTTTTAAATTCAAAAATTAATTAATATTCTGATAATTAAATAATTTTATTAGTTCAGTAACTAAATAATATTGTAAATAACTAATTTCACTTATATCAATTAATAATTATAGAAAATAACTATCAAAAAAATGATATTTATTAGTAATAGTTTTACAACAATAGTGTATATTCATTATATATTTATATATACTATAACTAATATTTATTTTATTTTCATTAATTATTTATTGCTTTTTATAAAAATACTTTCAATAATTATTTATAAATCTACTTTTATTTTGTTATTTAATAGAAAATTATCAATAATTATTGGAGATTAAACAACTATTATTTAACTTTTGAAATTTAATTTATCACATTTATTGTATTTTTATTATAAATTTAATTTTAGTAATTATATATTTTTTATAATTTATAGATTAATACTTATTGAGATTAAGCTATTATTTGATATTACACTATTTATTGACTAATTTAGTATATTTTAAGTATTTATTATATTTTTGTAATTATTGCATTTTATTATATATCTATTATATTTTCATTATAAACTTTTTTTCAATGATTGTGTATGTTTGCTATAAATTTTCAATAATTATTGGAGATTAAACTATTGTTATTTATTAAAGATTAGACTATAAATTTAGTTGAAATTAGGAGTGTTCAATGATTGGTTTAGATCAGTTGCAGGCTGTTTTGCCAACCAAATCGATTTGGTCAAATCCGTAGTTTGTCACTCGAAACCAATTGACTTTCAGTGAAAACCCACCAACTCGGTTTGTATTGATTTGGGTCTATTTTCGGTTTAGTTTGTTTGTTCAAAAGATTTAAACTTAAAAATTAACTTCAAATTTCATAAATTACAATGATAATATTAAAAAATAAATTACAAAAATTAAATCTATGATATAAAATATTTTAGACTAAGAAATATGAGAATTTTTCTACTTTCCCTATTAAAGAATTAAATTTAAAATATAAAATATTAATATATATTTATTAAACCAAAGTCGATCTGAAATACTAGAAAACAGACCAACTCGGGTTGAGTTTGATCGGATTGTTTATTAAAAAGTTAAAATATAAAACAATTATATACTCTAATGTATTTCCATTGTTTGACTTTCGCTTAACAAAGCCCATGCATAGCATGGGTCCTCGTCACCTCTCCTTGCTCCATTATCCCCACCCTACATTCTCTTTGACTTTCTTTCCTCTCCCCTTCCCATCACTCCCATTAAGCCATGTCACCCAATTAACTAAAAATATTCCTATAATCTCTCTCCTAAGGTATCTTATTTAAACCAATAGGAAAGTATCATGTTGCCCCACTCCCTAATCAATTCCTAAAATGTACCCCCAATCTATATCTACTCTCCCTCATTTAAAATATTCATATTAATTAATAAATAGTTAAATACGGTTAATATTTAATCCCACCCATATTCAATGAGTATTAAATAGAGTTATTACCAAAAGTAAATAAATACAGTTAGTAAATTACAAAAAATTAAAAAATATTGTTATTAATTAACTCATTAACAACATTTTATAGAAATTGAAAACTCTTTAACTAATTTCTATAAAATTGAGAATTATATTTAACAATTATTAGAAAATATAAAATTTTAGTTATTGTTATTATTATAATTAATAACCAAATACAAATGGGGGAACAAAATATTATAATGGTAGAAAATGAAATTATTAATTAATTTATATTGAAAAAATAAAAGATAAATTAGTGTAATTTTGTTAGTAAACTACCAAATAAAAATATATATTTAATAACAATTTTAAAAAAAAATTCAATAAATCCCCATAGTTACACAAATGTAATAATTTTTTCAAAATTTTTCATAAAACTACATTTTCGTAAAATGACATTTTTGAAATTAAAAGATATAAGGTATTTGAAAGTTTATTTAAAATGCATTAAATAATTATTGAAAATTATTAGAATATTTTGGAAATTTTAGGAAAACTTATTACATTTGGTAGATTTTGGAAAACTATTGAAAATTATGCAATTTTCATTACAAATTAATGAAAATTATTAAAGATAAATGACTGGGAAATGGAAAACTATAATTTGAACAAATAATCACACAAATTATTAAGATAAATTAGTATAATATTGGAAAAAGGAAATTACTGGTTAGTTTATATGAGAAATTATAAGATAAATTAGTATAATTCTGTAAGTAAACCATTTAAAAAGAAAATAAATTATTTAATAAAAACTAATAAATTTTCAAAATTACACAAGTACAACAAATTTTCCAAATTTTTCATAAAATTATATTTTTGAAAATTAAGACAAATTAGTATACTTTTAGAAATTTACAATGTGGTTGATACTCAATATATCCTTTTGATCATTTCTATCATCAAATTGAATATTGGGTTGACGGGGACAATGTATTCAAAATTGGATCAAACCAGATAGTTAGACCGGAAAAATTGGGAACCGAACGTTTCACCTCAAATCGTTTTTTGTCCAAAAACCGTTTATTTGGTTAGCGAACTGCTGATCTGGGTGGTCGAACCGTCAACTCAGACAACAGTTTTTGGACTTTTTTGTTTTTCTATTTTTTATTTTTTTGTCAAAGCAAGTCATCCGTTCGGATCGAACAGTTGGACCGTTTGACCCCATAACAGTTCCCTATCTTGTCCAATTTTAACAACCTTGGACGGGGGGTGGGTGCCTTGCCTTGAGCTTGGCTTGGCCCAAGGCCTAGCCCATGGACCAACCCGACCCATGGCATGGTACGGGTTTATGCGGGCTCGGGTCGTGGGCCATACCGAACTGACCCCCCAAATTATCCTAGAGGAGGGAGGCACGGCCCAAGATGGCTCATGGGCCAACACGACACAATGCACACTTTGTGCGGGCCACATGCGAATCATGTCGCGCCGACCTAGCACGACCCAATTTACACCTCTACTTGAACCCGCCCACACTAGGGACGGGGTAGGGAAATTCGAGGATTCTTAATCCTTGATGGGGAGTGGGGTGCCTTGCCCCTGAACTTGCCGACATTGAGGAGTGGTTACTTGACCTGAACCCACACGACACTGGGGACGAGGCAAGGATTGGGTAAAGTGTCTTAAACTATGGGACATGGAAATGGATGGGGTGCCCTTCCCTGAACCAAGTGGAATTAATAAAAATGTTAGCTTTTATAATTATTTTTATTTATTCGCAGTTAATCAAAATTTTATTTAAAAATAATAACAAGAATAAAAATTATTAAAATTACTACAAATTATTAATAAAACTAAATTTATTAAAAAATATTTATTCATATTCAATTAACAATAATTATTTTTTTATAAATCAACATTAAATGAAACAAATAAAATTATTAAATCTTTCAGATTTTCCTGTGCATTGCATGGGTTCCTATGGGGATTCGGGTGTATCACCAAATACACCCCCCCAAAAATAAAAAGAACTGTTTTTTTCTTACCTGACTGAGTACCGATATCTCATTGCATTCATATTCTAACAGATTCCTCGATCCTTCCTCTTCTAGCTTAGACGGGTCATAGCAAATCTGACCAGTTAAGTTAGGAAGGAACCATAAAGTATGCATAATCTGACCAACTGCTTGCCGTTTGTTATTTTAAGGAACATGAAAAGTAGACGAGGAATTTGTCATAGTCACCTCTCCTGCTATAGAACCCAAATGATAGGCAACCTTCAGAATACGACCTGTTGGCCACTGAAACATTAGCCCTCTAGCTCAATCGGGATGTTCTACCCAGTAAACCTTCTCTAACAATTGTTCAACTTACTCATCAAGAAGGGAAAAGAAATAAGATGTTCGATTTACTGGTTGGCTGCCACTTCAATGAATCTTATAAAACTTAAAAAAAAAAAAAAAAAATCCTTATGCCCAAAAGATGGAAACATATAATCAAATTTCAAAAGTTAGAGTTGATCCACCCTAAATACATAATTCCCCATATACTGCAGCAAAATATGACGCGACTTTCATTGCAAATGCCTACAGAAAGAAATGTGGTAGTTTTCTCCAATGGCATCTGTATACATGATGATAATATACAAGTTGCCAGGCCAAACGTAGACACGCTGCCCTGTACAGATATACTTCATGTCCTCCAAGATTTGCCAATTCTCCTTCCAACTCTTCCTACAATACCCAATCAGAAGTTGGGATTCCATGCTTTTGAAACCACTCAGGCATGTGGAATCTTTCATAAAGTACAGGCCTCACATCCTTCTGGAGGGAGAGGTGTTTAAGGAGTGGAAGGAGGACTTCCAAAAGCTGAAACATTGTAAAGAAAAATAAATAATTTGGTGCAAAAATTATTAAAAATCCAAATATAATGTTCAGAACAAAAACACAATATATTAATTTTCTTGGTTTGAAATAATTCTGGGTACCTGCTCATCATAGGGCTGTCCTGCAGAAAATGGTATGCATGGTATTCCATTAAGTGGTTGCAACAAGAAGCTGAATGGGTTATTATCAACAATAACAATTCGGCAAAGATCCTTTGATAGGCAAGAAAGATCCTTCACATGCTCCCGGTATTCTCTGATGCACAAAGTTGTGGAAATTTCATCTTAGTAACAGCATAAAGTTTGAATTCTCTTAACTGCAGAAAGTCCAGGTTTTCACCCTCAATGCAGTTCTCCATAAGTGGAAGCAGCATTAACAACAAAATTTAATCAAGACAATAAACCTTTATGTAGCAAGTCAAGTATGAACTTGACACCATGCATGCATGCTGTTTCAGAAAATATACACCTTAACATGAATCTAACCACAAATTATGGGATTCATTGCAATTCAAGGAATATATGTATGTTCTGTCCATGGTTTGGGAACTTAAGCAGACAAATAAAAGCTTGATGCTGCCTCAAAGTTATTGCTTTTCTGGTTTTATAATTTTGTTGGGACAGGATTAAGTAAGGGAGATGTATTTTAGGGTTAGGCAAATATGGTCCTCCTCGCCCCCTCCCCTTTTATTGGTACAACAACTTTTTATGTCTTATTATTATGATTTATGAATATAATGAATATGCAAGGAAATTGCCTAGTGCAAATGTATCTCTGAGATTTTAGATGCTACAACCAACAACCGTGGCAAATTGCATTCACATGGAGAGAATAGGGATCCAACCTTCAGTAAGATCCACATGAGAAATCTAAATAAAGTTCTAAGCTGACAAAAATGCCTGCACGTGGTCTATTACATTATTTAAGATGGACCAGGGAAAAAAGTACGAAAAAAATTTCCAGTAAAGTTACACTAATCAACAGATGAGATGGTTCAGTTGTCCAACTGTAGTTTTTAGATTATCATTTCCCCTAGATGCATATCCTATTTTATGATAACAATGACTTGAACTTTAACACAATACTACCTAGAAGCTATTAAACAGCAGCTCTACTTACGTGCTAATTGTTGAAGGCCGATAAAGACGAAGGCTAAATCGCTTTTCAACATCTATTCTGTCAACAAGTGGTCTAGCATAACCTGTAGAGCACCCAAAGATGAACTGTTAAAAGGAAAAGATTAAGTGATCAAAGGAAAAATTAATTAGCATGTAAACCTTCAAGACCAGCAGTGAACAGCACAAGATCCGCAAATTCACTTGTCTGCTTCAAGAATTCTCGCAAACCTGGACGTTCAAACACTGTGACATGATTGACCTTGGGTTTTCCATCAGATTCCTTCAAAAACAGTGTATGTTTGATTAAGTTTCTTCCATGTATAATGGAGTTATGGATAGATAACTGGATAAATGACAAAGAAACTATTAAAAATACCTTATCTGATGATACACATTCCAGCTCAAACCACTTCAGCCCAGCTTCTATTGCTTGATTACGGACTATTGCAGGCAAGCTAAATGTCTCATATGCACATACCAGGGTTTCATCCAAGTCAAGGACCACCTACATACCAAAGTGCATCTATCAAAATCTCTATATTCTGAAGTAAAAGCAAGCTCTATGCACAACAAAAGCTAAAAAAATATAACTGGCAAATGAGGATTAGGAGAATAATTGATCTGGCAAGTAAGAAGAATGCTGGCCTATTATTTTCCTTCAACTTTCAAGTCTAGCATGAGAGATGTTTTAGACTTGATAGAGAAAAAGTAGCCCATCCCCCAACCCAGGTGCAGGCGGGATTCGATCCAAAGTCTCTGCTACGACCAGCGGGAAACCTTACCAACCAGCTAGTTGGCACCTTGCAACTTTAATAAATTAATTCCACCTCACAGGATCTGATATTTACGGCAAAAAATGAAGATTAAGACCTTTCCTGTAAGCCCTGTTTAACCTCTTTACAACCATCATTGATCAACCTTGTATCGACTATTAGAATCTCTTAAATCTGGTCTTAACTTATTTTTTTAATAGGTAAAGTAAAAGCTTTGTATTATACGGAATTATGGATCAAGCAAAAGATCATATACATCAGCACCAATGTACATTGAAGTATTATACACTGGGGAGTTGCTAAAAGATCAGCCAGAGAATATATCACATCATGAATTTCTATTTGCAAACAAGGATTTAAAGTCAAATAAGTGTATGGAACTTCCTAAATTCCCTGTGCACTGAAATCCAGATTTGTAGTGTTCCTTGTGCCTGGACCATGTCTTCTCCCTTTTTTGGCACCATACAAAGCAGAAAACAGCAAACAACACCATTGACCATAGAGCTTTAACTCTTTTGTTAGCCCTTAAGCTTCCAATGATTCAAGAAGACTTCTATAGAACCTAGTAAGCACCACAACAATCTGAAATTTCCAATTAACTCAGACAATATGAAAGAAGTAAATTAGCAATGGAGAAAGATGTAATTTCCACTTTTCCGGTTTCCACATTGCTAGCACAGAGAATGCAATCAAAATTGTCCAGATCCATCCCTCTTGTGAAGAGTCTCTCTATGATTAGGCATTTACCAAGAGTTGCCAACCAGGCAAAGAAAGCTACTTTTGAAGGTATAATAGGCAGTGGACTCTAGAGCTTGGAAATGTACAAGGGGAAGAGTAATTCAGCCTTCTAAAGAATGATGTTTCTGTAAAAGAATCTTAACATCTAAGTTTTAAGTTTTTGCCTCTTGGGTCTTGTTGGAATGCTCCAACCTGTTGTACTTTCCTTAATTTTATTTAATGATTAATGAAATTACTTGCTGATAAAAAAAAAAAAAATCTTAAAGCAAGATCTTCTTATCCCTTTGTCATGGGGCTGGTTTTTGTTTGTGGATCTTGAGCAGAGCCTCATTCATTGGCTCAATTTCCCTATCATTTAGGTGTGATCTGAGACTACTTGGGTTCAAAACTGTCTCACCAATGAAGATCTCCAAGCACTTTGAAAAAAGAGATTTGCTATCCTGGACTGCAATATAAAGAGAGAGGTATATATCCATTAGGGGATGATCATCATGCCAGGGATCTACCCAGAATTTTCCCCTAGTTCCTTTCTCCAATTTTGTGTCTGATGTCTATTATAAAATGGTGGTAAGCTTTTCCAATCCAATTCCACATTAAATATTCCTAGGATTGTTTAAGATTCTTGTTGCTCCCATTACCCATTGTAAATTTCTTATTCCATAATTTGTGACAATAATCTATTGACCTTCCTCCAAGGTCTTCCAGTCCTTTATTGAAGCATCGATACCACTTCCTTAGTAGTTAGATGCCAAAAGGGATAAGATCACAGATGTTGAGACACCTGCTTGTATTTGAGGATAAAACTTTTTAAATTCAACTCTATAAGTTTTCCATCAACTATTTTAACTAGTTTATGTACCATGAAGAGGAAGGGCAACTAAAAATTGGGTTGTCCTGCATCACACATACACATGCATCCAGATATTATATACACAAACAGAGATAGAGCATCTAATCCATCCCACAATATGCAGGATTCAGTTGGAAGATTGTAAGGGATGACCAAGCCCGGTACATGGCATTGTGGCACCAAAAAAGGAAAAAAAATACTTTTTATGAAGAAACCTGAAGGGCCGCAAACAGACTGGATCAAATCAGATATAGAATAGACCCAAATTTGATTATTCTGATTCGAATCAAATATTCATATCTTACCCACCAGATTGCAATTGGATATTAAATAGCATTGATAAATTAAACTAAAAATGATCTTGATATTGTATATCATGAGCAAAATATGTTGAAAATAAATTTTATAAAACTTGTACCAATGGCTCTTTAGTAAAAACCGAACAGTCAAACCAACTTTACTAATAGAATACAAACAAATATATATATATATATATATATATATATATATACAGACTTGAGAACAGCACATGCTGAAAGAAAGCTCCTGTTTGTAGCCTTCAAAAGTAACCTCATGGTTACCCTCGAAGAAGACGCTGCGGTGCCGGAGGAATAAATAATCTAATATTTTCGGATATAGTAAACTAATCTCCTCGGTTCACTATCCCTCCCCCATGGATGATATGGCTATACACGAGCGGGAGAACTGACTTTATCCAAGATGCCTTAGATCTTTTCTTTCGGGAGTAGGAGTCAACATCCAATATGAAGAATTCTCTTCGAAAAGCCGGTTGTTTCAGGCCGAATTGCTAGGTGGCAAATGTTGTTGTCAGAGTTTGTTATCACTTATGTCACCCAGAAATCGATGTTGGGACAAGCTATTGCTGATCACCTTGCACGTCACCCTTTACCATGTTACGAGCCGCCCAAGATGGATTTTCCGGAACGGGAACAACTAGCCATCGAAACTTCAGATCTATGCGCCAAATCCCAGTTACAGCTGAATATTCAGTTCACACTAGGACAGGAAAGCTCAAATCCGAGTTTAGACTGAATAATCCGCCTAGGACACCAGAATATCGAACCATGAACGAAGAAGGGCATGAGAGAAAAGCATATTGGCTAGGGATTGTGAGGCCCCAATTCTTGACTGGAGGGGACACCAAAGGCCTCTGCCCTACCGATCCATGCCATTCTTCGTAGTATACCTGACAAATCGGGAGGTGTAGCCGCAATAGCACCAGTTTCTATATGTCTGTTGGCTTTACCTTTTTTTATAAGTATGTATGTGCATATATGTTCCAACTTAAACAAATTAAGTTCAGATCACCCTTAACTGGATCAAATTCAAATTTGGATAAATGGATACCAATTGCAGCCCTACAAAACCTCAAGAATTTTCAAATCCATAGTTCTAGGAGGAATCTTAGATGAAACCTGGTGGCATAAATTATAATGGAGAATAATATCAAAATATTAGAAGCAACTACATTTGAAATGGTTTCTAAGCAGTGTGGGCACAAAAGGATGGAAGTTTCTTTTTTATCAGCAAATGGAAGTTCGAACAATTAGAATGTGGTTTAAATCTAAGGGAATTGAAGAGAGAGAAGGAATTTACTTAGATGTTGGGAGTAGAATGTTCCTATGAATGTGAAGCTTTCTTCTGTTTTTTTTTGAAAAGAAATGAATTTGAAGCTTTCTTTGATAGATTAGCTTTTGAAATCCAATCCTTGATCAATCCTATAACCTATAGAGGAATTGGATGAATTAGAGAGAGAAAAAAAAATTTATGGTACAAAGGCCCATTACCCAATGATGGCCCCAACTGTGATGCATAGAGAAAAAACATTCCATGTGCAATTATACTATTCAGATTTCAAAATTCGAATAATCACTCTTCACTATCGGCAACATTAAAAGGTTCTTGGTCCCATTGGCACTAAAGCAGAGAAGGGCTTTCTCACAGATCTGCAAACAACCTAACTGATTCTGACCATAGAAGGGGTAGGAAGGACTGACTTGATTTGCAGGCACCATGCTTGAAGCTCATACCTGAGTTTTCAATGTAAGGTTTGGCCTTTTGGTTGTCATTAAAGGATATTTTTCAGATTCCGTTAAAGCAGGGACGGAGCTAGAGTCTTTTCTTGAGGGGGGCCAAAAGCTAGGAAACATAGGTAAAGGGTCAAAATATAAGTGGGATTTAAATGTGTTTTATTGGAATTTTGAAGGGATAGGGGGGGCCATGGCTCCCCTCCGCCACCCCCTGGCTCCACCCCTGCCTTAAAGGTAAAATAAAAGGATCCACTCAACCAAATTTTATCATTGAATACTCAAACGGTTTAAAGTATCGATACAGACAATACACACGAACAAACGTATCGGGTGTTTTGATACCAAAAAACATCATTTTTTAGGTTTTTTTTTCCTCGAAATTGGTCCGCGGGGGGGCAGTCTTACGCCTGCCTACCCCGTGAAAATACCCAAAATCCCAAATCCCTTGCATTTGCAATATTGGTGGCTTATTGACACAATACAATACACCTGGTACAAGGCGTATCATGTTGAAATTTTGAACCTTGGATACACATTTGAATCTTAATTTGTATTAAAGTTGTTTTAGCATAGGCTGTGATGCTATGCTAACTTGGAGGAGCCGGTGAAAGCATACGCTGTGATGCATGACTTGGGCAGGTTTTCAGCTGCCCACTTGGAATTTCCTTCAATTGAAACTGAGAGTTTCATGTCAAGCCTTCTATTTTTGTTATTCCTTTAGATGTTAGCAATCCTTGCAGAGAAATTACAAAGGGGTTTGTTATGGGATGGGACAGGAGATGAGAAAACCACAACTAAAGAAATCAGGTGTTCTTGCTAGTAGCAGTGGGATATTTTGGGAATAGACCCCCTAAAAAGCATGATTCAAGCCCTCCTTGGTAAATAGGTATTGGAAGAGAGGAAGCAAATTAAGGAAATTGACGATCTAACATTTAAGTAAAATATGGCAGTAGGTTTACAAATTGGGATTTTTCCGAGGTGACAAGAAACTGGGACACCTGCATATGAAAATGCATCACAAAAGTTTGAGGACATTTACAAGTAAGTCACATCCAAGTTTGGCATTGAAGACCATATAGATTCCAGAAGGATGTTTTAGGTGGAACTCCACCTTTTAAGCCATGGCAACAAAAAAAAAAGTTTCAGAAATGAAGTTGGTTCCACTTGTTTTATATCTCAAAATTTAAGGTGCAACAAGGAGTTGCAATTTTTCTGAAAATTGTCAAAACTCCAATATATACTACTGATTCAAGCTGGAGCTCCTAAAAGCTTGACAGTGATGGCAGCAAAAAACGAGGAAAGCCCATGATAGTATGATCCACAGCATATACAAAACCACTACACTATACTAAGAGACAAGGATACACCCCCACTGATCACAGGCTTGGGGAAAGGATAAGCCATGGAATTCTTTTTTGACATACAGCCACTTGAACAGCAGCATCTCTGCTTTCCCAATTACTGCCTCCAACTGAGAAGAGGAGAACCCAATCTTTTCCAAAGTCTTATGAAACGAGTCCACTCTGCAAAAGAAAAGGGGCAGTGCAAAAGAAAGTGACTGACTGATCCCCACCCCTCCTGGAAAAGGGAGCATAATTGACCAAAATCACTTCCAAGGAACTTCATCGACATCCTGTGCAGAGAGAAGGGAAAAGGATTTCACAGACTTGAACCTTTGGTATTTGTTCAACAAAGTGGCTGCTCTCAGACTTTAACCTACATTCCCAAACTTCAAACTTGTCGGCCCGAGAATTTACCATTACACCAACTTTGTTAATTTCCCTTGCATCTTAAAATTTCCCTCCTAGGTTCATTAATGTTTTCTCAATCAATCACAATAGTATAGATAAGCAAGTCAGGGCACCAGATACATGAAGGATTTATATCTAGTTCACAGAAAAGCATTTGGCATACACTAAACTATCACGGTGCAAAAAGCAATTCCCACGTATAAAAGGCCATTACCACAACTTTCGTTCCAGTTATCTGGGATCTTGGGAGGGGTAGACTAGATACGGCCCTAAACCCTTGGCATTTCGTTTGCACAAAGTGACCTAACCTTATGGTGCAAAAGGAATTGCCACAAAATTAATCCCGTTCTTAATGGTCCTATAAGCTACATAGGGCGACTAACCCACTTCTTTTCACGCGTTAAGCTGAAAATTTCAGCTCTGACCATGTAAACTGCATCTTCGCAGAATGATCCACCATAAACACTGAAAAATAAGCCGTAAAGTAGTATCTACCTAGCATACCGACAATATTTATCCCTTCAAATATTCCCAAGCAATGTAAGCAGAAACCATCTGAAAATGTAAATTCCATTTGATCATTCTATCAAAAACTACGAGATGCACAATCATCAAATGCACATGACTGAAGCTAAATCATACGCTTTTGCCCATTACTACAAGAATAAATATACTAAAAAAATCAATGAATTGATAAAACTTAAAAGATCAGAACGAACAAAAACAATAAGAGAGAGAGAGAGAGAGAACCCATCAGGGAAAAAAAGACAACAAAAAGAAAGGAGTCCTCAAATCCCATAATTCCAAAAACGGGAGGTCGTCGACTACAGGAACTTACTGTGAGCTTCTCGATCCGCTGATCAAGGTCGCTATCGTCATAGCTGGTAATGTGCGAAGGGACGGAAGGCAAATCTTGATGGGGAAGTTCAACGACAGGCAAGGGCTTGAATGAGGCAGAAGAGGACGAGGATGAAGAAGCGAGTAAGGGATGTCGAAGGCCAATAAAAGACAGAACCTGCGCCATTGAAGGTGTTCCCCTGAGGATCTGGAGGAAGATTTGAAAGAAGAAGGCCAACCAGTTCAACAGAGTCCTCCATACTTGCAGTGGCCTCGGCGCATAAACATCGGCCTGGGCCAGCTCGGCCATGGCCGCTTTAGAGCAAGCAAAAAATGGAAATAATATAATATTTGTAGACAAAGAGACGGATAAGAACGTTAACGTGTTCTCCCCGGAAAAGCCTTCGTCGTTCTTCTATATACCTGAATCGAATGGAAGAAAAGAAAGAAGCCAAACCCAATAAATCAATCAATCAATCAATTCAGGGCAATCAAGCGTCGTGGTAGTGGCCTTTTTTTTCCACGAAGAATTCCTCCTTTCCTTTCTTATTCTCTCTCCTCTAGAGGAGGCTAGAGAAGGAGAAGGAAGGAGGACGACAAAAACTTTGGTGGGTCCCATTTCAAGAGTCAAGACCGACCAATCAGAGAAGAGATTCATCGTTACATCCCTCTGTTCGAAACCGGATCTGCTCATTACACGTGGCACTTCACATACATTCCGCCATGTTATTATTTATGAGAAATGCTCCTAATTTACGGTGGGATGTGCCTCTGTGAGGTCGTTGTGAAGTGCCCTGTGTGAGGAGCATATTCCAATCCCCTCTGTTCTCGTTTTTTTAGAAGATGACCCATTAGTGAGGTGACTTGTGGAACTAGGGACCTGGGAGAAAGAATGAGAGATGAGAGATCGGTTGGACAAAGCCGCCGGATTAGTTGCCTTGGTGGTGACTCGGACTCTGAGTTGGAACCCGGCAGACGCCTCCGAGGAAAGGTGACAAACTGGTAAGTCCTTTTCACTTTTATTTTTTTTTTGCTGCCGATCGATGGCTGTTGGCTCTGCATTTTTTTTTTTTTAATTTGATGATGAGATCAGATTCACTTGCTTGATTGCATGTGATCGATGAGGCAGAATAAGGTCAAACTGATTACTGATCCAATGATCATGAGCGTCCACGTATCACTGTAGAATTAGATAGGGGGATGCCGGAGGCGGAGGCGGAGGCGGAGGCGGAGCTCCAATTGTTGAACACCCGATTCCCTTATTTTTTATATTTATTTATATATTGAAAGAAATTAATAAAAGTGGGCCCTGACATGGCGATTGGCGAGATAGACGTCGGCCTTGGCATTGGGATCTTGCTTTTCCTTCCTTCTGAGTTCTGAGTTGTCAAGCAGAAAGAATAGAAATATAGAATAGGCTGTCTGTGTAAAGTTAAGACCGTTGGATTGAGACCACTGTGTAAAAGCCTGATATAGAAAAAGAAAAAGAAAAGGGCTATCTCACTAGTCATGAGGCCTGGTTATGTGGAAACGCCGAACATGTTGATTTGATTTGAGCAATTCCGTCTGACCGGGAGACTCGATCCACGTATGGCCTAAAAATAGATTGCTTCTTTCTTCCTTTGAGAGATTAGTGGTTGATTTGGCTGAATTTGTCTTCTCATTTGATTAAGCTTAATAATAATAATTAATAACAATAAACCAAATAAAATAAAAAATGAAAAAGATGATTAAGAGAGTAGGAAGCCATGCTTAGCTTGTGTGATCCATATTCCATTTTGGTCGGTTGGCATGCAATAGTTTAGCAGAATAATTAGCAAAGAAATGTCGCTCTTAATACGCCAGGGTTAGCTTTTGACTTTATTTTTGGACACAACTCAGATTGGGTGACGCCCTGGCCCATGGGCATATAGCAGATAGGAATTAAGAATTGGATGTTCCACAACCAATAACTTATATCTTTCTCTGCAAGAAAAGAGGGGGAGGGGAGGACAATGGATAATGAGAAAATCTTCCCAAGAGAGTTGGCAAATTTGATCTTGAACGGCTTACGATTGTGGAATGTGACTTTTGGGGTGTGTGGGTCTCCATTTCTGTCCAAGAATAAGAAATGTTCCAAGCTTTGACGCACACGGGACTTAGGAGGACCCCAGCGACAGCTCGCACAGCCCTTAATTAACAATGCTATCCCACGTCATGTATGTAACCGATTCCGATTTCATGTAGTTGGGATAAGGCTTGGATGAGGATAATGATGATATCAGTCATCAGTGTTCCAGCCCATCAAGACGATATTTTAGGAAGGGGAAGTTGGTTGTGAATTTCCCTCTAGGAACCATCCAAAAGGGAACCTTTCATTGATATCTTTCCAAAAACAGATTTTTTTGTGCAAAATGTTTAACAGACACACAGCTTGGTGAATCTTTCCTTCACACTTCTGCCCAATTAATCCAGGAATAAGCTGCATCACCATCCAAATGCATGGTTCATATTTGAAAAAGGAGATCGATTCCCATTTAATTGCATCTTTCGATACTGGAATTTGTAGGTTCCATATGGATTCGTGTGAGCTTAATAGCTTTGTAAGTTTGTATTCACGAGAAAAATAAAACCACCTTCTTTCCTCTTTGTCTTCTTTTTCATTTTGGCCGCTCAGAGTCAGGGTCACAGGTAAAAAGGTAGCAACTATTTCATTATCCTGACCCTCCAAAAGTAATAGCTCACATGATTGCTGCATCACTGCGGTAGTCGTTGGAACTATGAAGTAGCCTCTTCTACATGCATCTCTCTTATACTGTTATACAAAAGAAAACCCACAAAAATCTTTTATAAACCCATTATTAATATGACTTGAATCTTGTAACTGTACATACACGTATACATTAAACATCCAACATCAAGAGCAGATTTTAGAAACATTCTTCCCTACACAGTGTCAGAATTCTGCACTCAAGCACTTGAAACATCAAAGTCATACCCCCACCCCCCATCAACAGCTGAATCAGATATTTCCCAAAATTTGTCACTCGTATGAATAGGAAAGCCATGGATGCTGTAGTGCATCCTTTGCACTTAGCCGCTTCTCTGGGTTAATCTCAAGCAAGTCTCTGATAAACTCAACAAACCCTGCATCAGAAACCTGTAGATGATGCTCCAGTGAGGACTGCTCCGGAATTATATACTCCAGTTGATTTGTTTCCTGTAAAGGGAATGACAAAAAGAATTGAATTCAAATTCAGTAGAACCAATTACCAAAGTTGATAGAAATACTGACTGGCTCATTTAGTTGATAAATAAAATGCACTAGGCTATTTTGTTTCTGTCAAAAGATCCTTCTTTTTGGTAATCTACCTTTTCCTCACCATGGTCCTGACATGTATGCTAGAATGGATTATGAGTCTTGAATGAGGACTAGACAATGCACTCAAGGACGATCCTGAAGTGAATCTCTACCATTTTATCTTGTTTAAACAAGCTGTTGCTGCACCTGTAGACTGCTTCCACAGCAGTGCTTATTCAATGGTTCCACAAACCAACGTTTTCATGCCCAAAGAATTGTACACCCCCCCCCCCACCCACCCAATGTTTGGGCATCATACACGTACCCTGAACTTTAGGGCACCTAGTCTGCCTTAGTACACCATATAACTGACGTTCCATTTTTAAACAAAAGAAAATATGTGCAAATACTAATGTTTACAATATTATGTATTCTTAATGAATTGATTCTTGTTAGATCCAAATAAGGAGATTGCAAGGAAACCTCATTAATATAATATAGATCATATTCCTCCGTGAAATACTTGTGTGTCTCCTGGCCCCTCTCTAGCATCTCCATATCAATAGGACCAAGCATCTCAATCATGCGTGCAAGCAACATCACCAATGCATCATTTGGAAAAAGCACCTGTTCGAAAGTAATAATTAGGGTACAAGAAAGAGATGAACTTTTTCACTTTTATGTGCCTATATAACAAAAAGATACCAATATACCACAACAAATAGAAAAAGCTAAAGGGATACGTTATATAAAAAAACCACCTAAAGGATTTACTGATGTGTACAAAATGCTTGCTACTCCATGTGTTCAGCAATGCAATTAAGGAATCCTCCTAATAGGTCATGCAATAAACACTTTGAACAGACAAACAGACAGAGAAGACAAATAATACATACATAACTTCACATGAAAAAGGTATTATTCTTGTATGTGTGTGTACAAGTGTGTTTTAACTTTTTGGATATTATTTTATTATAGTTCATAGGTTTAAAACTGATTGAATCTTAGCTAGCCATGGATTCCTTTTTCCTAAAATATACTTATTATGTCAAAAAAATTCCAAATACTATAAAATTATTGCAGCATGACAAAGGCATCTCTATTTAGTTACTACAAAAAAGAACAATTTAGTGGATCCATATGTGCCTCATGTTAGCAATTACTGTCAATGTTAGAAAAGGACATAAAGTTCAACAGTGAAGAAAGAGTCTAAAAACTATCTTCTGAGCAGCAGAATATATGGGAGAACAGAAGCAAAGAGGAAGTTATGATATAATCTGTAAAGCCTCTGGATTTTGGGTATAAACTACACAGAAAATTAAGAAATAAAAAAGAAAATAGAAGTCATCCCATGAGACAAGAGAAGAATAAGTCAAACTCGATAACTTACATCACCAGAACAGAGCTCAGCCAAGACACAACCAAGAGACCAGATATCAATCTTTTGGTCATATGGGAGCCCTAAGATGACCTCAGGTGCCCTATAGGAACGAGACTGTACATATAAGCATAAATTATCTGTCAGAAAGCAACTACTTCCCAGATCAATAATCTTTATCTCGCATCTGCTGTAACTTTTGATGAGAATATTCTCAGGTTTCAGGTCACAGTGGATAATTCCCAGGTGATGCAAGTATTCTAGTGCTTCCAAACATTGCCGAGTTATGATCTGAAAAAAGCAACATAACCAAAAATCCATGTTAGGCTTTGACTAGATAAGAAAGTAAACATTTAATAAAAAAAAGATTTGGAATTTCCAATTCATAAATACCAATCAAACTAACCTGTATCCTGTGTAATGTGAAATAGGGCTCACCACCAGAATCTTGATTAAATTTCTGAAATTCATATAAATTTGCTTGTAGAAGTTCACAGACAATGAAAAGATGCTCCTGCAGTGGCTTCAAAACCATTAGACATGACAACATAAAATAGAACCAAAAAAATTGCATGGTACTCATAATTCGTCAAATTAGTTTTTTTCTTTTTCTGATTTGTCTTTCCAAGGAAGATATCCAATACCCGTGCAGACTTGAGACAAAATAAAACATAACAAATAGTAAGTAATAAAAAAAGCAGCATTTTCAGGCTTGCATTCACCTCTTTGATAAAATTATCATCGCATGCTCTCAATGAAATGTTTGATTTTCTATTTACATGAGAAAAACTATGAATTAACCATACTTCTGGAGAAGCAAGAGCATGCTTAGCAATGAATTTATTTTTATGACAGGTTCTCCAAGTTTGAGCATGGGATTCAATTCCATCATGTTCAAGTCAGTGTGACATATGTTTAAATAGATTTTTCACATATTCTTATGGAGAGGAAACATTAGATTGGTTTCTATATCAGGTTCCCTGAGGCTTGAATAGGAGTTAAAGTTCCACCATAAGAGATCTCTGACATTAGACACACACAGAATCCACACTCCCAACTTTATGGGAGAAGTTTTGGAGAAGGATCCACTTCCAAAGTGCAGATCAAGGGTCTGGAAAAGGAGCTTCCCTAAATATTGAAGAAGGTATTTTGGGAACTGAGAGCAGAACACCATCATGAGACAAAGCAATTGAAAAGCAAGTATTAGGTATTGGTGTCTTCATTACAGTAATCAAACCCTCTATAACCACTCATTCATCCTTTACTTTCATGGGCAATATAATTGATTTATTTTTTTATCGCAAAGGTGCAAACATTGAAAGATCTTAAGCAGGTCATATGTTCTTTTCAAAAAGTAGTATCTTTAACATGAAAAAGAAAGTTGCTGCAATCAACAGGAAGGAAGAATTTTGGAACATTAACAAATCACTCCTTAAGGAACATGATCAGATAGGACATTTCAGAAGTTGGAAAAGGAGACAAACGCAGGCTACTCTATGAAATAAATCTACAATTTCAAGCAGTGTTTTAAAAACTGAACCAGGCATTGATGTGGATATGCTCATATGCCCCAGTTCGCAGGTGAAACATTTCACCTAAGTTCAACTAGTTCAACTGTCAGATCAGCAAAACACCATAAATAAATTGATTAAATAAAAACAAGAACATGGCAAAAACCAGAAACCAGCTAAATGAGCTCAATGGTTCATGATTCAGCTGTAGTTTGGGTCCAGATCAATGAATTTTTATATATTCCAGGCAATTTAAATTTGTGATCTGGGAAGGATCCTGTTCAGTTGCACCTGGTTCAAGTGTTCAAAAAGCCAGTCTGGTTTGGATTTCAAAACATTAATTTTAAGGTTAAACAGAAACTACATTCCCTAAGCCATAAGTGGTAAAAACAATAAAAAGAATCAACCTGCTTTCAACTACATACCTGATGATAGAAGTAGTCATAAAGGCGTAAAATGTGATGTTCATCTATGGGGTCGTGCTTGTTCACAAACTTTAGAAGCTTGATCTCATCTAAACTCTGATCAAAAAAATCTTTATCATTTTTTATTATTTTCAGGCAAATATTCATTCCTGTGTGAAGATCATAAGCCTGAACAACTTTACTGAAAGCGGCCGAACCAAGGTATTCTGTAAGATAGTATCTTCCTGCTATAATTGTGTTTAGAACAATGGGTAAATCTTTGTTCTCTTCAAACCCAGTCCTGCATTGCATACATAACTCATGTGCATAAGTGCTCCTCTAAAAACCATCCAAATGAAACCAAAGAAATGTAGTCTCAGCCATTACCACTAGGCAATAGCATTACAATTTACAAGTCATATATGTGAATCCCCCACTGAAATTAAAAAGAAAAAAAAAAAAAGAAGTGACCTTCAATTTAACCAAGCCTGGTATGAACACAGAGAAGTCCTTCGGGTCAGCCAAGTTGAATCAGTCAATAAGTTCTGACTGGTGACACAAAGGATCAGTTCATACCAGAACCTTGGGCGTTGCCCCTCTTTTGTGTCATGATATATGAAATTTTGATGGAACCTACACAGTCATTGGGCAGTCACCAACCTGTTCTTCCTATGCATAATTCTCAGGTCAAATATTTCATAATCATCCTCACAACTTCCATACATCGGATGATCACTTGGAGTAATACACTCATCTCCATCAACAGCAGTTCCAGATTCATGGTGCTCTCCAACCATTTTTCTACAATCTCCTATTTCATGATCATTGTCTCCATTTAATTGGACAATCTCATCAGAAACCTGAAGATGTAAATGAGAGTCATTCTGAAGATCCACATCCACACTTTTAATAGACCAATTAGCACCCCCACTCCTTTTGCGCTCTGAGGAAGAATCACAATCAGAAGGACACTCGTAGACATGTTTTAACTGAACATCACTTGAACAAGTTTCTTTCAAGCTTTTAATCTGGTTGTGATCCTCCAATTTCCAACCATTATAACCTTTTATTCCCATGCAGCAATCGCAAAGAGGATCCAAATTATACTTTCCAGAGCATCCATCAGGCCTTGCTTCATCACCTTGTTCAGGTTGGGTGATTTCAACCCATTGATAACAATCTGCAATTGGAATTCTGTCATCCATGGAGGTATTATTAAGAAGACATGGCTTGTCTAAGTAATTAATAGTTGTCATTGAATGGAACCCTTCTGTTGCAGAATTTAGAACTGATGATTTCTTACAATTCCTGTCTGCCTCTGAAGTGGTGATATACTTGTCCTCACTCGGACAATTAAGTAAGTCCGACCCTCCAATACAGGTACATTTGAGATAGCCCCCATCTTTCTCATTGTACCAGTAAATGTCATTGAGCATATCAGAATCATGGTAATCACGAGCAGTACCAAATTCAGAGAGTCTATCTGATGATACATCAGATTTATCCTGAGCTGCATATGGATTTGTCAATCCTGTTGGAAAAATGAAAGGATAAGCTCAGCCTGAGCCAGAAACAGCTAGATTAGTGAATCTCTATGTCAGAAGCATATTTAGAAACTGTCAGTTAGCAGCATAATAAGCAACAGTAAACAAATTACTATGGCGATGTTTGGTACTGTGGCCATTTATTGAAGAAATGTTTTGTACAGGATTTATCTTGAAAAACAAGAAAAGTAATTGATAAACATTTCTTTTCTGTTATTTGACAGCTAGGCGCCACATAAGCTGAACAGTAAATAAACGCCTGGATGTTGGGGGAAACATTAAAAAGAAGCTTCCCCCAATGGTTGGCTCTTACACAAACCGAGACAAACATTTTACCAAATGGCATTTTTAAATAAACACCTATGTGGTGATGAGCTGGTGCTGTTTTTCAAATAAACAGCAACAAAACCAAACACCATGTATGTTTGGAGAAATCATAGAAGACCAATGAGTGCTTCTGTCCTTCTACCCACAAACTATTCACTTGAAATCAGCCTCCAGATGCCCATCTAAATCAGATATAGTAAAGTAACGAATTTGAAAGGAGGTAAGTTCTCTAGAGTTTAGACCCAAAAAGGAAACTGGAAAGGTGCGGTGGGAACTGGGAAGTAATCCATGGTACCATTTCCTAGCCAGCACTAATTAGTGATCAGAATACATTCCCTCGACATAGATTTGGCTGAAAAGACAATGATATATATTCTCAATCAAACTACAGAAATGGAGACATATTTTACAATCAGCATGGTGATTATAGAGAACCAATCGATATAAAAGAAAGAATTCTAGGTCTAGATGTAGACCGAAGAGAGAATATCATGTCATTGTTCTTTTGCAGTAATGCAACGCTCTGTCACAGTCAACCCGGCATGTTTTGCCAGGGGAAAAATAACGAAGGGATCAATCGTTTTCACATTTGCTACAAAAAAACAAGCAGTAACAGCAGACAAGAAATTTCTAGTTCTTCACACTAAAGGTTAAGGAACAATGTTGGGCGACAGAACAAGTATCATTGCAAAGTCCATGCCTTTAAGTTCCATATTTTTAATCAATGGCGAATTGGCGATAGAACATAGAAGATTAGTGTAAAATAGTTTCACTAGTGGAAAATGCTTCAACATAAAAATTATTATATCCCAAAAAAGAAGTCAAAAGTCATCAGTTCCAGACAAACTGAAATACAAATAAGATTAACCAATGCGCTTCATTGAGTGCTCCCATTTAACAAATCATTTTAACAAGCTTCCACGATTTTGAAATCGAGTTATGAGTTCCATAATTAAGGAAGAAAAAAATGAATTTTTCGATCCATACCAGAAGCAGACATTTCAACACTTGAAGAACCCATGCTTATGAAATCATCCGACGAGTCAGAGATAAAACCGGAGCAAAGAACTCCATTCGAAATTTCTGATTGCCGGCTACTGGACGAAATTCTCAGCGGAGGGGGCGGCGGGTCCATCGGGAACATGAACTTCTCGAAATCGAAGGAACCAACCTCCCCTCTCTCTACGATATCGTCTCTAAGTGCGGAAGCAGCTTGGGGAAACCCATTGTTCCTCAAGAAATCTAAGACAGCTTCGACGTCCGAGACCGCCATGGAGGCGCGAACAAAAATTCAGAGATAGAGGAGAGACCAAAAACTCATTTACAAAAAGTAAACCGGAACGGTTAGAGTGAGGAATTAAGGTTTGCATGCTTTGAACAACTTCAGATCTCCTGCTGTACATAAAAACCGAAAGCCACCAGCGCGACGAGAAATGAAAGTTCTCACCAACTTTGAAAAGTTGAGTTTTTGTTCCTTTTTCTTTTTCGGAGAAGGTACTACTTGTATTTCCTTCGTATTTCTTCTCTTCTCGTGGGCCCAAATCCGTGAGCAATAAAACTAAACGACACGCGCGTCGTTTTTGCGCTTCCACGTCGCCTTAATATTTTCGCAATTTCGTTTTTTTTTTTAAATTTGATCACATCGTCTAGATTCTTTGCAACGAAATCGGGCGTTAGCTTGTAGGGTAGAAAGCTGGAATCACTCCGAACCTGCTACAAACAAGGCATGTGCAACGAGCTTTGTAAACCAATCAGAAATTGACACGCCATTGATCCGTGCAAGTGGTACTAGTACGGATCGCTGCGTGTTCGCTTTTGATTGGATCACGTAGTCCATTATACACGCCTTGTTTGTAGCACACCTAGCATTCGGTGGGATGTCAATCCAGACCAAACGGGGGTCGTTGGTGATGAGGGACCAGTTTTACTTTTACATTTCCCTGAGTTTTTTTTTTTTATCTTTTTTATATTTTTCAATTAAGTTTGGTTTCTTACATGGTTAAATAGAAGTTAAGAAATATTTTCTTATGGGGTGGGGGGTTCTACAGCGTCAATTGATTTTTTGTTGGAGGTTCTAAAAGCAATTCAAAAAAAAAAAAAAACTATTTGGTTTGACATCATGTTGTATAAGTCATGCAATTCCTATATTAGAAAATTTGTTTACAATTATATTATAAAATTCAATATTTTTGTTTTAGATTAAAAAGTATTATTTTAATAATTCAAAAATATGTATTATTATTTTAAATTAAATCAACTTGTTTTTTCTTTTGAAAACAAGATAGATGTTAAGATTTTAAAAACAAATGAAAACAAAAAACATTTATGCTTAGAAGTAGAATACTCCTAAATATATAAATATATATATATATTTATAAATTAATAAGAAAAAATGTGTTCATATTATAAAATATATATCCAAAGAGTGAAGAGTAAATATAAATTTGTGGAAGGTGAAGGATGATGCCGGGTCAGATATTTCAAACTGGTTTGGTTGGATTTACCTTTCCAGTAAACATGAATAAATACCCTCCCACCTCACGCTATGATTTTGTTTGTATAATGTGACACATACTTGCCGCTTTTCGGTTCCTTTTCCATGTGCATCTAGTAAAAGCTGAAGATGCGTTCGTTGAGGGGTTTGTGGCTTTTTTTTTCTCTCTCTCTTATTTTTTAAACTTGTTGGGCCTTAAAATCCGAAGCTATTTATTAAGTTCACAACGACCTCAGCCATCCAGTTATATCCCGGATAAAAGAAGGAAGAGAAATAATAGAATTCATGGGTCATGAAAAAAGGGCAAATTTGTCTCAGCGGTCTTGAGGTAACGTGGTCTCTACTACGCCTATAAATGGATCAAATTCGAATTGAATCAGGTTAGATTCGAATTCGAAATCGATTATGAAAATTAATATTAAAATTTGATTCGATATCCGGTGGACATCAAATAATTTAATTCAAATTCGAATTAGACCAATGGCAATGGTGGCCGTTGAAGCAGTGATGTTGGATTGTTGGCACTCTCACAGTATTAGTTTGAGTTGTAGTCTTAGAGATGAGACTACTGTCACTGATGATGGCAGTGCGGTGAAGGAAAGATAGAGGAGAAGATGATGGTTGTCGTCGACACTACTGTCACTCGACCATTGTCACTGACGTTGTTGTTGGTGATGGTGGTTGCTCGGGTGGCGGCGATGCTGAATTGATATATGAAAGAGGAGAAGATGATTAGATGAGATACGAGAGAGAACTAAGGAGAGGCATAGGATGAGGGGCGGTGGCCGGTGACCAGTACTCGACCGTCGAGTCATTGATGTGGCCGGTGTGGTTGCTCGGGCGGCGACAACGAAGGGAGGGTTAGGGTTAGGTTTTGAAAGGAGATGGAGACTGGAGAGAGATATAGAGATTCAAATGTTTCATGTTTGCTTGATTCAATGCGAAATGAGAAAGGAGATTCGAAAATGGAGAATCTCAAATTTGTATTTACATTTTTAACCTTCTTTGTAAGTTTATATATACAATACATATCCGAATTCGATTCGATAATTTAATTGATAAGAAATTAATATTCGAATTCAACCGAATATCTGATTTGAATTATTCAAAACTGAATCGATTATGTTGAATCTCGGATTTGAATTCAGATTTTCAAATATCGTTTATAGGCCTAATCTCTACTCTATATATAGCCATGGTCCTTTGGTTCCTGGGTCACCCCATCATTTTGGGTCGCTCCACTTTTTTTTTCTTTTTTTGGTAGAAGAGAGATCAAACTAAAGGAAAAACAGAAAAATTACAGAGAGGGCAGTGAAACCAGCCAATTTGCTAGCCAAAGGGGTATCACATTTGTATATAAACCTGATAGGCCTTTTTTTGCAAGGTTGTGAGCTAGCAAATTGTTCTCCCGCCTAGAAAAGAAAAAGAACAGTCCAAGTCTTTACATTCGTCCAGAATATCTTTACAAAAAAAGAAAGCATCAAGAGCTTTAGTAGGATTCTTTGAGACCAGAGCTTGTACTAAGGTTTTACTATCGCTTTCGATCACAAAGGACCCCTGTTGACGGTCTTTGCTAGTTTAACCCCTTGGAGACAAGTGTAGGTTTTCGGTTTTTGGATCAATGGTTTGATTATCTGGGTTGAATGAATCACATGACATTTTAAAAAGTTTAAAATTAAAAAAAAAAACTACATAAAAATTGTCAAAAAAATCTATCCGAGTTAAATGGGCCGATAATTCAATCATCCAAATAAATAACCGCATCCTGCTTGTGGATTTGGCATCGATCCAGGGTCAGGATTCATCCCACCTGTATGGGTGGGATTAAGATTTCTTAAGTGGACCAAACAATAAAAGCCTCAATTTTTCAAATTGGAGGGGGGGTCATGCTGATAAGGGCAGAGATACTATTGACCTTCTTCCTCCTATAGAATGGTGAACAATAGCGGTAAATCTCCCCATATCCAGTCTCTCTTTCTCTCTCTCTCTTCTTCTTCTTCCTCTCCTCCACACCTAAGTTGCTCCAAACTCAGATAAGAGCAGAACGGTGAGATCCCTCTCCACTTTGTTATACTGTGAACGATGAAAAAGAGAGAGAGGAAGCGCATAGTACACACAAACAACTCACCAGTCTTGCCCCATTTGTATCTATTATGCTACTCACTAAATTAATCAAAGATGCTCTATCATATTAGGACCTTCTAGTAGAGTCATAGGCATACAGGGTCCGTTCAACAGAGTCCTACTGAGGCTACCTCTCGCCCCCAAATCACCATCTCCTTTTTATTAAACAAAAAAAGCATGAGAAACACTCTCTTAAAAGCCCTTAGGGGCGTTCTTTTTTCAGATTTTGAGAGGGGGGAAAGTTGGTCAATGGGAGTTTGGATCCCATTAACCAAGAATCCTATGTTCTTTTTTTAGATTTATGTGGGGACCAGGGAAATTTTATTTTCTTGGGTACCACTTACCTGGGTAAGTGATACCCATCTCCTAGGTAGGTAAATAACTTTCCCACCTAAGGGGAAAGTTATCAACACTTGAATGGGACAAAAATACCCTTTTTAATAATGGATTTTTATGGTTAAAATGGACATTACCTTATTTACATGAGAAATAAAAGAACATGGTTAAATGCACTTACCCGGGTAAGTGTTTCCCAAAAAAAATTACCTAGGTAACTGCATTTACCCGAGTAAGTAACTTACCGAAAAGCGAATAGGACCTTAATGTTAGGGTCGTCGGTACCAGCAACTTGATCTCTTCACCAAACTCGTCTTCATTGGTGCATCGCCTAAGTGATTAAAAATTATTTTAAAAAACAAAAAATACTAAATTGTATAAGCATGAAAATAATGCTGGTGAATTTTCTATATACTTGACAGATTCTTAAATGATGTAGGTTATCATGGCAGATTCGAGCAAGGAGAGATCAAGATGGTATTCTCGACAATGGAGGCTAATTACAAGGCATGGGATGGGTTAATGGGTTCAGCAGTAGTGGACATGTCGAATGCCAATAGAGAATTCAGACAGACCTTATTCAACATGAGGCCCAACATATCGCTATTCATGTGTCAAATCGTGTTCAATAGCAATTTGAGGGGGATTTTGGGGCTCGTGAAGCTGCCTTGCTGTATAATTCAAACGGACAAAGATGTCTTGGTGCAGTATCAATGGCGAATTATTACCTTAAGGACAATTTGGGTGGCTAGAACACGATGGAGATATTAGACACTGGAGGACATTTGCCGCACCTGAGTACGCTAGGTTTGTTGGCATCCCATCTACGATGAGCTCTACAATGGTGGCTCGAAGAGTGCAGCCTATCAAGGTTCAAAGTATCGATATGTATTGGCCAATATGTATCGTGTCAATGGCTTCCCGACACGCCCCTTTAGGGGTTGTATTGGGTCAAACACTGGTTTAGAGGGTAGTCGGGCCTTAAATCGACCCCTCTGAACCAGTTTTGAAAAAAATAAATAAAACCTAAAAAAAGAGTATTGATACAGGCCGATATGCCCTGTCGTTACTTTGAACCTTGCAATTTGTAATTCCGTGGATCAGATCTGAGTCAGACAAAACAAATAGGTTGTGGTCAAAAGAAAGGGAATCTCTGCTCCGCTTTGAGTTTGGAATAACTTAGATGCAAAAAATAAGAATAAGAAGAACAAGAGCGAGGAGAGAGAGAGACACAAACACACACACACACACACAGAGAGAGAGAGAGAGATTGGAGGTAGGGGAGATTTGTTGTCATTGTTCATCATTCGGGAGGATGAATGAGGTGAACAATAATATCTCTACCCTTATTTCATATTTTTTAAAAAAATTTTAACCTATTTTAGAGGTTATATTAAAAAGATTGTTTTTATTAATATTAGAGGTCAAAAGTTTCCCTTATATGCAAGAACTCCCTTTTTTTCATGCACCTAATTATACGTTGCACCATTGTATAAAAAAGAGCTTGGTCT